TGGGTTAGCCACCACATATACCACCTAGCCTGGTCGAATGGAAGGACCCACTCCACCAGTGTTAGAGGGGGCATCTATTAATGGCAGAGGGGGTCTTTGCTTGTGTCTTTCCACAGCACCGACCTTGCCTTCAGTGTCAAAAAGATAACTTGCCTGGCGGCCATGGAGAAGGCAAAACGGAAGCAGTGCTGGTAACCAGATCACCTGGAACGACATCCACACCCTCACTGACACAGTCCAACGTAGCTGCTACCCCACCCTGACCCCAGCCTCCTCCTCTGTCACTCTAATGCCTGTTTTTACTCTGGTGAATGCCAATCCCCTGCCTTCCACATTGCTTGACAGATTATAACCACAGCTAAGCCTGTGCTTATAATGAGCCATGAATGTTCATCATAACATTATTTTACAGGAAAAGCAAACAGAGGAACAAATAAGGTTGATGGTATCCTGGAGTAAATACTTCAACAATGTTGCTGATTTTCTCCCATTCACCACACACACAAAAGCCTCCCACTGGTTTGTTTTTGTTTTGTTTTTGCACCTCTAGCACCTGCTCCCTGCTTGCTGCAGTGCCCACAAATTCTTCCATGATAACGCCAACAGAGAAAATGGCACCTGTCTGGATCTTCATGACATTCGTCAGTCTTCTTAGTTGACTCCATGTGACTATTCACCATCTTCTATGACCAGAAAAGATTACAACTTCAAGTTTTGGTACAATACTTTATAAAATATTAACAGTCAGGACAGGTGGTGCACACCTTTAATCCCAGCACTCCAGAGGCAGGGACAGGCAGATTTCTATGACGTCAAGGCCAGCCAGGTCTACATAGTAAGTTGCAGCACAGCCAGAGCTACATAATAGGGAGAGCCTGTCTCAAAAATAAAAACAACAAACAAACAAATAAAACATTAACAACGTGTCTGTAAGGAGAGTGAAAGGATGAGAGGTGGATGAAAGATTGCGTGAAAAAAATCAATTGCCCTTAATCTAATTTGCAAGGGAAATAGCCATAGTCCCAGTGCTCATTGTTCAAGGATGGAATGACATGATGTCCAAGCACTGGAGAAAACAACCAAGTCTCAAGACAGAGCACCAATACTAAATACATCCAGTAGCTAACGTGGAACTTTGTGGTTTTGTGGGTATATAAGGACTGCGCAATGCAAGGTGAATAATCCAGCCTTAAATAGAACTTCAGTGTGCTGTGGTCATCAGGAAATAGACCTGCTAATACTATAACTATGAATGTGGTTTTTGGTCATTGTTCTAAAAAGTGGGATTTTTTATTATCTATTTTTATACCCATTTGCTGATAGTGTATTCTTTGTCACAATTTGTGCTCAGTGTTTGCAGCATTTATTCTGAGAGCTTATCAAAAAAGTAGAGCAATGAAAGAAAGAGATTCTCAGGGTAGGAAGTGGGATGCAGGGAAAGTACATTTGATTGTCCTGATGTTCTGGTTCAAACAGCTTTGTAACCTAGCCATTATAATTTATCACCTAAACCAGTACATTTTAGGAAGAGATAGCATTAATTATGAGACAAATTGTGACCGTCCAAATTCTTGGAAATTATTCACCTTAAGGAGATCAAAATAAATTAGAGAATCCAAAAGGAAAATGATAACTATTGGCTAGGGTGTGGGGTATAAGAAGTGGTCGGATTTGGAGTCAGTGTCAGATTTCAAACTTTCCCGTTACTTGCTGTATGAGCTCAATTATTCAGTTACTCTCTGCCTCAGTTTCTCATTGTAAAGAAGGGAGAAATAGTCCCTGCAATTCAGAATTTCTGTAAAGATCTGATGAATAAAATATATGCAAATGAGCCATAGTAAATTCGATACATGTTTTATTATTAATAGTATAAAGCTGAAGTAATGTGGGTGGCAGGGGACAAAGCAAAGAGCTGCTGGGTAAAAAACTGGATGTCTGACCTCCAAAGTATCACATAAGAAACAGGGTTTTCTAACCACAGACATTCCTCACTCCAAAGCCTGCAGGTTGAAAGACCCAACTGGGGTCACATGCAAGTATGTTCTCTTTCTATGTTTTACATTCCGAGACCAAGGGAGACAGCTGCCTGAATAGAGCTATTCTCATGACAGAGACTTAAAACATCAAAAGGGCAGAAACAGCTGCCCAAAGCCCTTGAACACTTTCAATGTGGAAAAGCATTTGGTAAGCTTATTCATGAAGTGCTGGCTGAAGTTTAGCCCAAAGTCATGGAGTGGGATGGAGAAATACATATTCTGCCTATGATGAAGCCATGTCAAGGACAGGAAATAAGGGAGGAATTCTGAACAGATACCTCCTACCTAATGAACACAGCCAGCCAAGCCCCCATTAGTAAATATGAAGATTGTTATAAATACAGTATATTATAAAATATATGTATACTTATACATATTATAGTCATTCATAGTATAGATTTTTTTTCTGGGAGATGAACTCTTAGAAGAGGAATATGGTATTATCTAAGTATTTCTTTTCTTTTCTTTCTTTTTATTTTTCTTTTTTGAGGGAAGTTTTTACTATGTAGTCCCGGTTTAGCCTGAACTCACAGAGATATGCCTGCTTCTGCCTCCTAAGTGCTGGGATTAAAGGCATGGACCTCCATGCTTGGTCCCAAATACAGCTTTTAAAATATAATTGTCTAGTTGCTCTAAAAGAAAAAAAGTTAAGCAAGAAACTCTTATCAAAGAGGATATATTCTCAGTTTCAGGTGATATATAAGGTACCAAGATGTGTCTGTGTGTCTGTGTGTTTGTGTGTAATCAATTTGGTAATCAATATGGCTACCAAGTGGCCAGTGAATACTTGGCAGTGTAGTCCAGTGAATACAGTGGATCCAGAGATAATTAACCAATATACTGGGCAGAGGTTTGACTCATGTTCCTGGCAAGATGTAACAGGACAATATGAAATTCCACTAAGCTGCTTAGAACAGTTTGCAATGAAAAGCTTTGGAGTTTTTTTAATTCCTAGACTTTTCCACTTACTATTTTTATAACACAGTTGACTATGAATTTATAAAACAGTAGGAAGTGACACTGTGGAAAGGGTAGGGCATACTGCATTCATTTACTCTCTCCTCATCTTAAGGGGGAGGTTTAGGAGAGGCCACCGGGCTAAGCAGTGACTCTGAATAGACAGCAGAGACTAGACCTAGTGCTGGAAGGAGGAGCTGGGCTGAGGAGGCAGGAAATACTAACCCAAAGTGAGGGGATCCAGACAGAAAGTGTTTGGTGTGTAAGGTGTTATCTGGGCAAGGTGAGGAGCCATAGTTAACTGATCAAATGTTGGTGTCATTAGAACTGGGAAAGTAGCTCAGCAGTAGAGCACTTGTCTGGAAAAGTTAAAAGGCCTGGGTTTGATCTCCAGAAAATCAGAAGAAAGTGGAAAGATCACAGTAATAGATAGGAAAAGCTGGCTTGGCTAGCTTAGCTGCTCTTTCATTTTCTACATGCCAGGGCCTTCTTTGCCTAGAAAGACCTCAGGAAGAGCCAAAGACCTCGCAGACATAGCTAGATTCTCAGTCCATTCCAGTGGCAAAAATTTTGATTAAGATTCATGTTTACCTGAGAAGAAAGCCTTCTGTCATATGACAGCAAGTAGTCACAAGCTTAGCTCCTTCTTAGCTCAGTGTGTCATCATCTGAGGGATGATGCTTCATCTAGACAGAGGGACTAGTCAGCCACACTTACATCTTCTGTCTCCTGGGAGGCTCTCCTCGTATTCTGGGTCTATCCTGACAAGATTGAAAATCTGACTTTTTAGCAGCTCTTCTGGCCTTTGAACTCATTCCCCACGCTCAGCAAAACCAGTCAACAGACAATCACCCAGTGTTAGACAAATTCCATCTATCAACTAGTCAGCTGGGACTAGGAAGGTGTCAGCAATCTGTGAATGGAGTGTCTCGAGAAGGCTAAGAATATGGAGGTGGAAGAGTGGTGCACTTCGTTCTGGGTGTTAAGTAGGTTCTGAACCCCGTCAATATTGTTATGTCCTTTCCATGTTAGAGAGCAGTTAAGCCATTTTATCTGTCCCAAAAGATTCAAGCATCAATATGGCCCTCATGGTATCCCTGGCAGTTAGAAAATGTGAAACTGACCAGTTTTGGGCCAATCACACGCACCATCACATTTTGTGTGAGATGTAGTGTTTGCGAGGCATATGTGAGCAGATCTGGCAGCGTCTAGATTCCGGTCTTTGGGGTTGTGCCCGGTGACTGCTGCTGTCAGTGTTGGTGGTTCGGAGATTACAGCACTGTTCTCGGAAGTCTCATTCTAGGCTGTGGCTTTGCCTAGGGTTATTACACAGTCTTTCCTACTCTGTGTATTTTAGAGTCTGAACCCTGGACCATGAAAACTTACAAGCTCTCTACAACACATTTAGAAACTAATTTCCTCCGCAAGTCACCCAGACTCACCTTTTATGAACACTGAGAATCACTACTCTTTGTTTAACTGTGGGTCTGTGGATCATCTTCAATTGTAGTGAAACCCATGCTGGTGTTCTACACTAAGCAAATGGGAGTTAGTTCCCTTTGTTTTGGGTACTTTGGGCTTAAGAAATACTATCTTAAGTAAGTTGGTTTCTTACTGTCACAGTGTGATCTTTTAAGATACTATCTTGCTTAAGATACAATATCTAATGAGAAAAATCTTCGATATGTATTCAAGTTAGGTATTTCTAGAGCATTTATTTTTAGTTTTCTTTTGGGACTAAAAGGTAAGCTAGGATCTTGTGCACTCTAATCAGGTGCCCTACTCACTTACCTCCCCAACCCTTTACTTATTTTGACACAGGGTCTAATTAAGTTGCTCAGGAGAGTCTCCAAGTCTCTACCCCAGGCATGCTTGAACCTACATTCCTCCTGATTCAGTATCTCTAGGATGTCCTAAAGGAAGCAGATTTGTGAAGGACAAAATTACTTTCCCAGTATTATAGTTAAGATTTGGAATGTTGTCTGAGGTTTGAGCCAGAGAGAAGGGTTAGAACCTTCTCACCCATTTCCTGAAGGCTTCTTTGACTTCTCCATTCCTCAGGCTGTAGATGAAGGGGTTCAGCATAGGCGTCACCACTGTGTACATGACCGTCACAATGCGGCCATTGGTCACTGAGTAGCTGGAGAGGGGCCGGAAGTAGACCCACGTGAGGGTGCCGTAGAATATGGCCACCACGGTGAGGTGGGAGCCACAGGTGGAAAAGGACCTCTGCTTTCCGTTGGCAGAGGGGATCCGGAGGACTGCTGAGATGATGAAGGCGTAGGAGGCGATGATGAAGACCAGCGCTCCATCGATGACGATCACGCCCTCTGTGTGAATCATCAAGGTGTTGAGCTGGGTGCTGGAGCAGGAGATCTTCATCAGAGGGTACAGGTCACAGAAGAAGTGGGGGATCCGGTTGTCTGCACAGAAGGTCAGTCTGCCCATGAGGCTTGTGTGCAGCAGGGCATGCAGATGGGAGAGGACGTGGCATAGAGCCACCATCCCCGCACACAGCATTCCAGTCAGTATTGTGGGGTAGCGGAGAGGGTGACAGATGGCAATGTACCTGTCATAGGCCATCACGGCCAGGAGGAAGTTTTCCATGGCTGCAAAGCAAATGAAGAAATACGTTTGGGTTAAGCAGCCCACGTAGGAAATGGCCTTTGTAGAGGAGAAGATGTTTTGTAGCATCTTGGGAACTGTGGTGGAGGTGAAGCAGATGTCTGCCCAGGCCAGGTTACTGAGGAAGGTGTACATGGGAGTGTGGAGATGAGGAGAAGAGACAATGAGTGCGATGATGAAAAAATTGCCAGAAACGTTGATGATGTACATGAGAAGAAAGAGAAGGAAGAGAGGGATCTGCTCATCTGGGTGAGTAGAGATGCCCAGGAGAACAAAGTGGGACACACTGGTCCAGCTGCTGTTGTCCATCTGTCACAACAAGAACCGAAAGGATCATTCTCATTCCTTGGAGCTATGAGCAGACTGTTCAGTAACCCTCAGCAGTTTAGTAGCTGCTGTACCCCAGTACAAGATACACATGGTGCTGATAAAGGGACTGAGTACTTAATACTTTTTCATTATTTTTAACATTATCACTGCGACCACAGCTAACATTTACTGAGGATCTTCCTTGAATCAGGAACTTTGACGCATTATCATATTTAAATATTACAATTACCTTATGAAGCAATTATCATCAGCAGCATCATTATTACGTATTTTACAAATTAGAAGGCATAGAAAGTTTAAGCTCATAAAGGGCACATTTTAATTTATACCATGCCTACCAGGATCCAAAGGTTATGCTGTTAAACACTGTATGCTATGACTCTCTAAACTACAGCCAAGCTACCTTACTCATGACAGAGGACTAACGGGCGGGATCCATATCCAAGGAACCTGTCTGCAGAAGGGAATGTCAGAGTTTACATAGGCCAGCAGCTCTCACTCTGGGGCTGTGGACATGGACATCCCTGCTGATGCCCAAAGGTCTCTCAAATAGTGCACATTGTTTTCTAGGAAAGAGTTTCCATCTTCCTGATTCCCATATACTTCTTCTATAAGTGGCTTTTGTCTTCAGCTGGTCCTCTGCTTTACCCTGCCTCATATCTAACAGAAGAAAGTCAAACGATAGTAGGGTCGATGCTCATTTTATACATGTACTCTAGCAATAAATAATACTCATTTCTGGATACAGAGAATTAGTTTGAAAAAAGCACATTGTTCCATTAGATGTCTTGGTCTACGTTTTTCTTGTAACTGTTATTCACATCACATCAGGGTTCAACTAACTTGGAATCTTGGGGAAAAAAAAAATGGATTCTTGAAAAAAATTTTCCAAAAAGGAAAAAGTAGGATTTTGCTGCACGAGGAATACTGCAAATCCTCAATGAGATGATGCATAGGTGGTGAATTAGATATTAAAAGCAAACCTGTGACAGTTTATTGTGTGCAAGAGGATACCCAGAGTTCCTATGCAAATGCTATTACTTTTTATATCTAAAGATTTTGGTATGCTGTAGATCCTGGAACCAAGGGACAATTGTATTTGTTTATTATTTAAAATTTTATTATATGCTATTATCTGAAATTAATGTTTTGTGTAGATCAAAAACAGATGAAATTTGGTAACTTCCATATAGACGCTAATAATATATAATTTGTTACTCATACATGCTATAATATCTCAATTCAGATTAATTTTTTCTTGATTTCTAACAAAATTTCATGGTCACAAGAAGCTAAAAAAGCTTTATTTTTATATCCTTTATTGTGGAAGGTAAGATAGATAAGTATAAAAGAGTGATTATGATGAGGTAAAATACGCATTGGGAAGGAAGAAGGCACATGTGTAAACAGAGCTTGTAATGGTGATCTTGTGCCTTCATTTAAAGTGTGCTGGTGAACGGCAACTCTGTGATGTAAGCATCATTCAACTGAAGAGGTTGAAACTCAGAGTTCTATAGCATTTTCAAAATCAGATTAGTAAGTGGTGGAGCTAGAATTTAAGTTCAGTTGCATCTGATCTCAAAGCCTACATTCCTAACTACTGATTATCCACCCCCTTAAGCTATTCCTATTAATTCCTACTTATACTTCTCATTTTGCTTTTACATTGTGCTAGATAAGTGACCATACACACACACACACACACACACACACACACACACACACACACACACACA